CATCAAGGACTTTTCAAATTGAAATATTGAATTTTTCGACATTTTTCTTTAATAAATATAGAAAATTCTATATTAATTTCTTGCCAGTTCTAGTACAGTTCTAGTTCAGTTCTAGTTCAGTTCTAGTTCAGTTCTAGTTCAGTTCTAGTTCAGTTCTAGTTCAGTCTAGTTCAGTTCCAGTTCAGTTCCTAGTTCAGTTCTAGTTCAGTTCTAGTTCAGTTCTAAGTTCTAATTCAGTTCTAATTCAGTTCTAGTTCAGTTCTAGTTCAGATTTCTAGTTCAGTTCTAGTTCAGTTCTAGTTCTAGTCAGTTCTAGTTCATTCTAGTTCAGTTCTAGTTCAGTTCTAGTTCAGTTCTAGTTCAGTTCTAGTTCAGTTCTAGTTCAGTTCTAGTTCAGTTCTAGTTCAGTTCTAGTTCAGTTCTAGTTCAGTTCTAGTTCAGTTCTAGTTCAGTTCTAGTTCAGTTCTAGTTCAGTTCTAGTTCAGTTCTAGTTCAGTTCTAGTTCAGTTCTAGTTCAGTTCTAGTTCAGTTCTAGTTCAGTTCTAGTTCAGTTCTAGTTCAGTTCTAGTTCAGTTCTAGTTCAGTTCTAGTTCAGTTCTAGTTCAGTTCTAGTTCAGTTCTAGTTCAGTTCTAGTTCAGTTCTAGTTCAGTTCTAGTTCAGTTCTAGTTCAGTTCTAGTCAGTTCTAGTTCAGTTCTAGTTCAGTTCTAGTTCAGTTCTAGTTCAGTTCTAGTTCAGTTCTAGTTCAGTTCTAGTTCAGTTCTAGTTCAGTTCTAGTTCAGTTCTAGTTCAGTTCTAGTTCAGTTCTAGTTCAGTTCTAGTTCAGTTCTAGTTCAGTTCTAGTTCAGTTCTAGTTCAGTTCTAGTTCAGTTCTAGTTCAGTTCTAGTTCAGTTCTAGTTCAGTTCTAGTTCAGTTCAGTTCTAGTTCAGTTCTAGTTCAGTTCTAGTCGTTCTAGTTCAGTTCTAGTTCAGTTCTAGTTCAGTTTCTAGTTCAGTTCTAGTTAGTTCTAGTTCAGTTCTAGTTCAGTTTCTAGTTCAGTTCTAGTTCAGTTCTAGTACAGTTCTAGTACAGTTCTAGTTCAGTTCTAGTTCAGTTCTAGTTCAGTTCTAGTTCAGTTCTAGTTCAGTTCTAGTTCAGTTCTAGTTCATTCTAGTTCAGTTATAGTTGATTATAGTTCATTTCCAGTTCAGTTCTAGTTCTAGTTCAGTTCTAGTTCAGTTCTAGTTCAGTTCTAGTTCAGTTTCTACTTCAGTTCTAGTTCAGTTCTAGATCAGTTCTACTTCAGTTCTACTTCAGTTCTACTTCAGTTCTAGTTCATTTCAGTTCATTTCTAGTTCAGTTCTAGTTCAGTTCTAGTTCAGTTCTAGTTCATTTCTAGTTCAGTTCTAGTTCAGTTCTAGTTCAGTTCTAGTTCAGTTCTAGTTCAGTTCTAGTTCAGATCTAGTTCAGTTCTAGTTAAGTTCTAGTCAGTTCTAGTTCAGTTCTAGTTCAGTTCTAGTTCAGTTCTAGTTCAGTTCTAGTTCAGTTCTAGTTCAGTTCTAGTCAGTTCTAGTCAGTTCTAGTTCAGTTCTAGTTCAGTTCTAGTTCAGTTCTAGTTCAGTTCTAGTTCAGTTCTAGTACAGTTCTAGTTCAGTTCTAGTTCAGTTCTAGTTCAGTTCTAGTTCAGTTCTAGTTCAGTTCTAGTTCTAGTTCAGTTCTAGTTCAGTTATAGTTGAATTATAGTTCATTTCCAGTTCAGTTTCTAGTTCTAGTTTCAGTTCTAGTTCAGTTCTAGTTCAGTTCTAGTTCAGTTCTAGTTCAGTTCTACTTCAGTTCTAGTTCAGTTCTAGATCAGTTCTACTTCAGTTCTACTTCAGTTCTAGTTCAGTTCTAGTTCAGTTCTAGTTCAGTTCTAGTTCAGTTCTAGTTCAGTTCTAGTTCAGTTCTAGTTCAGTTCTAGTTCAGTTCTAGTTCAGTTCTAGTTCAGTTCTAGTTCAGTTCTAGTTCAGTTCTAGTTCAGTTCTAGTTCAGTTCTAGTTCAGTTCTAGTTCAGTTCTAGTTCAGTTCTAGTTCAGTTCTAATTCAGTTCTAGTTCAGTTCTAGTTCAATTCTAGTTAATTTCTATTTCAGTTACATAATCACCAATCTAATTATTTTCCAACAAAAAAAAACTCCAGCGGAAATTGGAAAAGATTCAAAAAACTATTTGCCATTTATGTCTCTGTCTCCGCCTTTTTGTTTGTACACAAACACTAATTGTTTGCAAATAAATATGTATTTTCCCATAATATCCGTTTCTATTATAAAAATTTTATTCTCTGTAATATTTTTCCACTAAAATAAAACAAATAATTTCAAATTTGCCATAATTTAATATTTCTTGTTTACATTTTGCCATAAATTGTTGCGGTTCATCGATCTTTGCGGCAATAAAACACAAGACAAAAATAAAAAAAAAATAAACGTAATTTTTGCGTAATATAAATCAAAATTGTTCCAGTTTCAATAATGCGTGCAATTTCATTATTAAATATATTTCATTTGGAAATTATGCAAATGAGAAATACAATTAAATAAACAATTTGATGTTAAACTTTTTAGACGAAAATTCAATTGTGTTAAGTAAGTTGAAATAATTATGAGTGTGTGATTTCAGAAAACTGAACAACAATTTTATGAACAAATTAATTAGGTAAAAAAATTAAAACAAATGTTTGACATTTAGGGGCGTATAATAGAAAAAAAATAAAAAAAACTGTGAAAAATCAGTAAATTAGTTAAAACGTTTTCATGTTACAAGCCGCAAACATTGAAAAGTATAAATTCTAAATGTTGTCCCACCATCACCACTTACTGAAGAATGACACATTCGCTTACAATACAACATAATCAAGTAGAGTAACGAAAAAAGTGGAATGTACTCAAAAAATTTAAATTAAAAACAAAAACATTCAACTAACCAATTTATAGAATGTCATCTATGTACGTTAGTGTTTGTGCGAAATTTATAGTGAAAGCTTGGGTATTACCGATATCCCATGACGTTTGCAACAATATGCAGAAATTACTTCAGTTCTAGTCCAATTCTAGATCAATTTTCTTTTCGTTACAGTTTAAGTTCTAGTTCGGTTCTACATCAGTTCTTGTTCAGTTCTAGTAGAGATCTAGTTCGGCCCTAGTTCGGATCTAGTTCGGTTCTAGTTCAGTTCTAGTTTTGTTCTAGTTCAGTTCTAGTTCAGTTCTAGTTCAGTTCTAGTTCAGTTCTAGTTCAGTTCTAGTTCAGTTCTAGTTCAGTTCTAGTTCAGTTCTAGTTCAGTTCTAGTTCAGTTCTAGTTCAGTTCTAGTTCAGTTCTAGTTCAGTTCTAGTTCAGTTCTAGTTCAGTTCTAGTTCAGTTCTAGTTCAGTTCTAGTTCAGTTCTATTCTAGTTCAGTTCTAGTTCAGTTCTAGTTCAGTTCTAGTTCAGTTCTAGTTCAGTTCTAGTTCAGTTCTAGTTCAGTTCTAGTTCAGTTCTAGTTCTAGTTCAGTTCTAGTTCAGTTCTAGTTCAGTTCTAGTCAGTTCTAGTCAGTTCTAGTTCAGTTCTAGTTCAGTTCTAGTTCAGTTCTAGTTCAGTTCTAGTTCAGTTCTAGTTCAGTTCTAGTCAGTTCTAGTTCAGTTCTAGTTCAGTTCTAGTTCAGTTCTAGTTCAGTTCTAGTTCAGTTCTAGTTCAGTTCTAGTTCAGTTCTAGTTCAGTTCTAGTTCAGTTCTAGTTCAGTTCTAGTTCAGTTCTAGTTCAGTTCTAGTTCAGTTCTAGTTCAGTTCTAGTTCAGTTCTAGTTCAGTTCTAGTTCAGTTCTAGTTCAGTTCTAGTTCAGTTCTAGTTCAGTTCTAGTTCAGTTCTAGTTCAGTTCTAGTTCAGTCCTAGTTCAGTTCTAGTTCAGTTCTAGTTCAGTTCCAGTTCAGTTCTAGTTCAGTTCTAGTTCAGTTCTAGTTTAGTTTTAGTTCAGTTCTAGTTCAGTTCTAGTTCAATTCTAGTTCAGTTCTATTTCAGTTCTAGTTCAGTTCTAGTTCAGTTCTAGTTCAGTTCTAGTTCAGTTCTAGTTCAGTTCTAGTTCAGTTCTAGTTCAGTTCTAGTTCAGTTCTAGTTCAGTTCCAGTTCAGTTCTAGTTCAGTTCTAGTTTAGTTTTAGTTCAGTTCTAGTTCAGTTCTAGTTCAATTCTAGTTCAATTCTAGTTCAGTTCTAGTTCAGTTCTAGTTCAGTTCTAGTTCAATTCTATTTCAGTTCTAGTTCAGTTCTAGTTCAGTTCTAGTTCAGTTCTAGTTCAGTTCTAGTTCAGTTCTAGTTCTAGTTCAGTTCTAGTTCAGTTCTAGTCAGTTCTAGTTCTGTTCAGTTCTAGTTCAGTTCTAGTTCAGTTCTAGTTCAGTTCTAGTTCTAGTTCAGTTCTAGTTCTAGTTCAGTTCTAGTTCAGTTCTAGTTCAGTTCTAGTTCAGTTCTAGTTCAGTTCTAGTTAAGTTCAATTCTATTTCAGTTCTAGTTCAGTTCTAATTCAGTTCTAGTTCATTTCTAGTTCAGTTCTAGTATATAGTCTAGTTAAGTTCTAGTTTACTTCAGTTCTAGTACAGTTCTAGTACAGTTCTATATCTGTTCCTGTTATGATAGAGGAATCTTACTCTGAAATTATCATTAATTCCCCAATTAAACTACAATAGTGTACCACTCTAACCACCGTTTGCCCATCGCAATATTTTACTTTTAATTTAAAAAATTTAAATATTGCTCTCCCAAAACCAAATAATAATAAAAATTACCAGCAACAACAACAAAAGAACAACAAAATAAATGTGAATTAAAAAAATTCTGAAAAGAATGACGAGATGAAGGCGTTCATTAGAGCAGACGCCCCTTGTTTTTAGTTGATTTTTAAAATTAGTCAATGTTAGACGTGTGTGTTCCACATTCAATATATATAAACAAATTTCAATAAATTGCGGTCGTTTAAATTTGGTTCAGTTTTTTTTTCACCCCAACATTTAAATTTTAATTAAATAATGTAATTATTATTAAAATTTTCAATTAAATTATATAATTAATTAAAAAATAAAACTTAAATTTTTATTTATTTTTTTATGTTTCCTTATATAGAACGGTTCGGTTGTTATGTTTGGTCGTGTGGCATCATATCGCTTTGTCGATTCACCAACCGATGGCCGTTATAATTTGGCCTTGTCACAGTCACAATTGGATTCAGCGTGCCTCTATGAAAGGTAAGTGTCGTTATTTTAAAAACAAATCAAAGTTTTGATTTGTGTGAAGAAAAATTTGTGTAAAAATCTAAATGTTTGCTTGATAAAAATCTGTTTGTTCCATATAATTTTTTTTATAAAATTTTATGTTGTAATATATATTTAATAAATGAAAGACAATTGATAAGAAAAAGCTTTAAAAAAAAGTCAGGAAATTAAATTTATACCAAAACTGCGCTTCTTGAGCTTAAAATTTCAAATTGCAATTTCGAAAGAAAATATTACAATTTTTTTAAAGCTTTTTTTCTTACAATTGTTTATGTTTTCAATTACCATTTACGCTTGTGTTATTCTTATTAATTTATTTACTCATTCATATTTTTTTAACATTCTTTTCATTTTATGTTGTATTTTCTGTTGCATAAAAAAATCCAAAAACATTTTTATGTTGTTTATTTGTTTTGTTAATAAATTTTTAAAAATATTGAAAAAATAATAAAAAAAAACTGCACCTCATACGACAACACACAAACCAACCTAAAACCAAAAAAATAAACACACATACAAACAAAAAAAAACTACATAAACAAACATACACTTACCCATATAAAACCTCCCCGGAATTGAAATAAAAAATTAACACAAACTCACTACAAATCTCACACACACATACACATACACATCTAAACAACAAAAAATTCTACGATTGGTTTTCAAACCGAAAAAACTACAACAACAACTTGCTGAATATTTTAAATACAAATACAGTCGTTCACCAACTTCACCCGGTTCATGGAATGATGAGGATGGAGCCCTAAGTTCGGTAAGTTTTTATAAAATTTTATATTAAAGGAATTTGGATTAGACTAGACTATAGACTAGACTATAGACTAGACTATAGACTAGACTATAGACTAGACTATAGACTAGACTATAGACTAGACTATAGACTAGACTATAGACTAGACTATAGACTAGACTATAGACTAGACTATAGACTAGACTAAAGACTAGACTATAGACTAGACTATAGACTAGACTATAGACTAGACTATAGACTAGACTATAGACTAGACTATAGACTAGACTATAGACTAGACTATAGACTAGACTATAGACTAGACTATAGACTAGACTAGACTATAGACTAGACTATAAACTAGACTATAGACTAGACTATAGAATAGACTATAGAATAGACTATAGACTAGACTATAGACTAGACTATAGACTAGACTATAGACTTGACTATAGACTTGACTATAGACTAGAATATAGACTAGACTATAGACCAGGCTATAGACTAGGCTATAGACTAGGCTATAGACTAGGCTATAGACTAGACTATAGACTAGACTATAGACTAGACTATAGACTAGACTATAGACTAGACTATAGACTAGACTATAGACTAGACTATAGACTAGACTATAGACTAGACTGTAGACTAGACTATAGACTAGACTATAGACTAGACTATAGACTAGACTATAGACTAGACTATAGACTAGACTATAGACTAGACTATAGACTAGACTATAGACTAGACTATAGACTAGACTATAGACTAGACTATAGACTAGACTATAGACTAGACTATAGACTAGACTATAGACTAGACTATAGACTAGACTATAGACTAGACTATAGACTAGACTATAGAATAGACTACAGAGATAGACTATAGACTAGACTATAGAATAGACTATAGACTAGACTATAGACTAGACTATAGACTTGACTATAGACTAGAATATAGACTAGACTATAGACTAGGCTGTAGACTAGGCTGTAGACTAGGCTATAGACTAGACTATAGACTAGACTATAGACTAGACTAGACTATAGACTAGACTATAGACTAGACTATAGACTAGACTATAGACTAGACTATAGACAAGACTATAGACTAGACTATAGACTAGACTATAGACTAGACTATAGACTAGACTATAGACTAGACTATAGACTAGACTATAGACTAGACTATAGACTAGACTATAGACTAGACTATAGACTAGACTATAGACTAGATTATGACTAGACTATAGACTAGACTATAGACTAGACTATAGACTAGACTATAGACTAGACTATAGACTAGACTATAGACTAGACTATAGACTAGACTATAGACTAGACTATAGACTAGACTATAGACTACTAGACTATACTAGACTAGACTATAGACTAGACTATAGACTAGACTATAGACTAGACTATAGACTAGACTATAGACTAGACTATAGACTAGACTATAGACTAGACTATAGACTAGACTATAGACTAGACTATAGACTAGACTATAGACTAGACTATAGACTAGACTAGACTAGACTATAGACTAGACTATAGACTAGACTATAGACTAACTATAGACTAGACTAGACTAGACTATAGACTAGACTATAGACTAGACTATAGACTAGACTATAGACTAGACTATAGACTAGACTATAGACTAGACTATAGACTAGACTATAGACTAGACTATAGACTAGACTATAGACTAGACTATAGACTAGACTATAGACTAGACTATAGACTAGACTATAGACTAGACTATAGACTAGACTATAGACTAGACTATAGACTAGACTATAGACTAGACTATAGACTAGACTATAGACTAGACTATAGACTAGACTATAGACTAGACTAGACTATAGACTAGATTATTAACTAGCCTAAAATTTAGAATATAATTTACATTAGAATTAAATAATTAAATAATCTTTTACTCTCCTTTTCCACAGACCCACAAGAGTGAATACGATCCCCATAACAGTAATCCAGCGGATCAAACGGAAATTGATGGTAAATTACGTTCAAATGGTTCTGAACATAATAATCATACCAATACAACATTAGGTGGAAATTTTCAAAGTAGTAGTGGTGGCACCGCAGGTGGAGGAGGCAATACAGCCGATACACAAAGTTTAGAAGGTAATCTAGAGAATGAGACGAAATCAATATCCAGTTTAAAATCAGGAGGCTCAAATAGTCAAGAAAGGTAATTATGAACAATTTAAAATTATAAATTAATTTTAAAAAGATAAATTATATATACAGCAGCCTTGTTTATAAACAATATTAGGACTATTTAAGATCAACTTAAATAACTTTTTGATTCGTTTTTAAATAAGGCTGCTGCTAAATCAACCAATTTTACTTAATTTATAATAAAATTTTAATAATATCTAAATTTCTCTTTTTTTTCTTAAAAAGATCTCCTTACAGCTTTCACTACTTTACACACAACACATTTGAAAAAAAAATCTAAGTCCTAATTAAAACAAACTCACATTTTTCGTTTGTAAATTGTCGCTAATTTTTTTAATTAAATCATTTCATAAAGATTTTATATTGAATTTTTAATAATATCTCATAATTTTTTTATAATTTTGTGTGTGTTGTCTTGTAAAATTTTAGTCCCTTTTGTAAAAATTATTAAAACATAAAGTAATTTAGATTTTATAAATAATTTATATATTTTATTATTTTTACCTATAGATCTCCTAAAATGCCTTCATCTTCAATCTCAGCTGCTGCCCATATCGAACCACAAGGTCAGGAACCAATTCTGCCTGCAGTTTTAGAATTTCCTGAAACACATCAGGAATTATTTCTAAGACATATTATAAGTGAATTGGATGTAAATGCTCCACATTTTAAATTAGCTCCTGTATATTCATTATATTTATGTGCCAGGTAAGAATTTATACATTTTTCTTTTGTCTTGAGCATGTTTTATATTTATTTTTTTTAAGTTAATCGAAAGTTTTGCAAAAGCTTTCTTTCTCAGCTGCTTAAATGTTGTAAAAATTAACAAACAATCAAATATATATAATTATTAAGTTATTAGTTCCGATCTTAACTACAATTAGCAGATTTTCTTTTGAAAAAACTCGACTTGTTAAATTTTCAATGAAAGTGAATGAAATCCTCCTTTCAACCTTAACTACGATTAATGAGTCAGTTCTTAATCCCTTTTTTAGCTTTAAACGTAAATTACTTCATGATGAACTTTATATAGCAAAAAAAAAAGTTTATTTTATTCGTCAATGGAAGCAAAGATTTTTTATGAAATTATATCAGAACAGAAAAAATACATCTCGACCACTGTCGAGACAGTTGTGCGCTCCTCCTAATATACTACTCAGTGTCCTGAATGTATTTCCCTATAATTATACCCTACACCACTATAGTGGGAAGGGTATTATGCGTTTGTGCTGATGTTTGTAACGCACTAAAATATTAGTACTATACCCATCTTTAAGTATACCGATCGACTCAGAATCACTTTCTGAGTTGATTTAACGATGTCCGCCGACCGTCCGTGTGTCCATGTAAACGTTGTTATCAAAGTACAGGTCGCAATTTTCAAGATAATTTGATGAAATTTGGCATACATGTTTCTTTTGACCCAAGGAAGCCTATTGAAAATGGTTAAAATCGGTCCATTATTTCACCTAGCCCCATTATTTCACTGAACCCCCCGAAAAGGGCTTTTGAGCTCATAATTATTTATAATATAAATGTATCTCGATAAATGTTCGCACAACTAAGTTTTATACGAGCCTTGATGACCGTGCCGAATTTCTAAATGATCGGACTTCATTTGACCCTAGCCCCCATGCAAAGCCCCCTTTCGGAAAATGACTTGAATATCCGCAATTCACTTATTAACACTGTAATTGCAATGAAATTTATCACAGACAATTATTATATAAACATAAATCTATCCAGCCCATTTTATCGGGATCGGTTCACACGGATCCCCCATATAAAGCCTCTTTCAGAAAATTAGTTTTTCGTCAATAAATTGCTTAAATAAATCGGAATCAAGGTAATATTCCAGATAAATGCTTTATTATGAAAAATAATTAAGGGATGTAATAACTGGAAGCAAAGATTTTCAATGAAAATTATATCAGATCAAAAAAAAAGAAAAACATCTATGGGTCAAAAAGTGCCCTCCTTTTCATGTAAAATGTTGATAGAAAAACCTATATAGCGATTTATAAAATGAGTTATCGTCCATTAATTTTCCTAAATATCTGAAATAACATCGCTTCCGAAATGTTAAGATTTAATGATACAGAAATACTTCCACAATATCACTGTGCCCTCCGTTCGTCCTATTTTGTATATCATACTAGTCTCGGACATATTCAATCTGAGTGACGCCCCATAGTGCTCAAAGCACCATTCCATTATTCCTATTGGCCGTATGGTAACTTCTCGCTCACATTTTCAATTTGGCTCTCGTAAAGTCGAATGCTTTCCATTTATCAGGTTATCATCATCATGCTCATATCCCTTTATAGCCAGTATATTTGGTCTTTTATTGCCTACTATCCCCGAGTGGCATGATACCCATATGATGCTGAGCATACTACTGAGAGAGTATTCGGTTATATCTCTCTTACAGTGCAATACGGTTTTATTGTATTCTGATTGTCTATGCCGTCTTCAATCCAATCCATTTTACACATTCCAGAATAGCGCGGACTTTCGACTGGAAACTAGTAGAGATTTGTCTTCCAGTTTAGAGCCATCCGCAGGGGTTTGCTCAATGATCCAATTGACCACGATCTTTATCTGGGAGATCAACAATTTCTGTTTTCGGTATATGATGGGGCACATCCAATATGTCCAGTATACATTAATCAGAATTAACTATTGGTATCGTGATGTTTTCTGAACTTAGAGCGAAATTCAGAATTTATCGGAAAGCATTTGCTGGATCAACGATCAATATTTGAGAGAGAAAAATATGAACAAAATTTTCGCAATGAAGCTTATTATGAACTGGATACTTATTAATATAAAAATTTATGAATCCAACTAAAACGGATCTAGAAAAATCTTGGCTTTTGAAAAGACTCAATCTGTAAAGATCATTAAAGAAGGTTATGGCAATAAACTATTGAAATTCGATTTAATATTTTCTTAACTTTGGCATAAATATTCATTTAGTCGATTGTAAAAAGGTATTTGCTGGATCTGTGATCCATTTATTGTAACTAGATAAACTATTTTATATCGATGGATAGGTATGAATAGGTAAGTATGTTAAATGCACAAAATTGTCAATATAAAGACATACAACTCAAGATGAAATGGATCTTAATTAACTTTTAGAATAGATCTTAGAATATCGTGAAACTTTAATGATCCCTTACAAAACTTGATAAGATATCAAACCACAGTTCCCGTGTGAAAGAATTTCCTTATATTATATATATATATTCCTTACAAAACAATCCTCTCTTTCTCCTTTCAGATATCGTGCTTCAACACACTACCGTCCAGAGCTCCAGCCGACAGAGCGAGCTCACAAACTAACCATATTCTTACATCATGTTGCTAATCTTATTTACAACGTTGTCCAAGAACAATATGCCGATCCACGTATCCTAGCCTTTTGGATGGCAAATTCTTCGGAATTTTTACATTTCTTAAAATCAGATCGTCACATTAGTGCATTTTCGGTGCAGGCACAAGAAGTGCTAGCGGAAAGTGTACAGACTGCCTTTCGTAATTTAGTTAACTGTTTTAGAGTTGAGCTGTCGCAAACGTTGAATCAATTTCTATCGGAAACTATAGATCATGATTCGGCCGCTGGTCTTGTGTTGACTGTTTTGGGTTCGGCTATGGCATTGTTGAGAAGATGTCGTGTCAATGCTGCCTTAACCATACAATTATTTTCGCAATTATTTCATTATATTAATGTTATATGTTTTAATACGGTGAGCAAGAAAAGTTTGTGATCGATTTTTGGGTTTTTATTTTTTTTTTATAATTTCAAGTTGTTTTCTTTGATATATAGAAAAGATTGGTGTATTAGCGTTAACGAAGGAAAAACGTTAACGCGCTAGTTCGCTTTAGTTTTCTTAAAAAAACAAATTTTAACAAAAATTTTTTCCCTCTAGATTGTGGCCAACTCCCACATGTGCACCGCCGAATGGGGTAAAGTTATGACCGAACGTTTACAGCTCCTAGAATTGTGGGCCGAACGTCAAGGCTTAGAATTAGCAGCGGATTGCCATCTGGCTAAAATTAATCAATGTGCCCAATTTCTACAGGCACCCAAAACATCAGTGGAGGAAATCCAACAGCTAGCTTGCTCTTGTTTCCGTTTGAACTCTTTGCAAATGGCCGCTTTACTACAACAAGAGAAGATACCGCGTAATCTAGTGGACACCGCCATACGTATGGCTGAATCGGTAGCCGACGAACTAACACGAGCCGATGGACGTGAAGTACGCTTAGAAGAATCACCGGAATTACACTTGGCCCTATTATTACCCGATGACGGCTTCAGTTGTGATGTCGTGCGTGGTATACCCTCGGGTTTAGTTGATTTCATTAATCCCTTACAGCAACAGGGTATGTGCCGTTTGGCTGCCCAACCCACCTCGATTGGTCTATGGACGGTATATATGCATCAATTTAATGTAAGTTTTAGCTACATTTTGTTAGATTTTTATTTAAATTTTTATGTAATTTTTCACTTATAGGCCCGTTCTTCAAGTGCTATGTCCAATAAACTCCCCCAACCTGAAGTACAAGTTATTAAATTGCATAAAAATTCCAATGGCATGGGTTTGTCGATAGTGGCAGCTAAAGGTGCTGGCCAAGAACGTTTGGGTATTTATATAAAAAGTGTAGTGCCTGGGGGTGCAGCCGATGCAGATGGCCGCTTACAGGCCGGCGATCAGCTATTGCGTGTTGATGGTCAAAGCTTAATAGGCATAACACAAGAAAGGTTTGTATTTTTATTAATGGGAAGAATCTAAGTTCTAGTTCAATTATAGTTCAGTTCTAGTTCAGTTCTAGCACAATTCTAGTTCAGCTCTAGTTCAGTTCTAGTTCAGTTCTAGTTCAGTTCTAGTTCAGTTCTAGTTCAGTTCTAGTTCAGTTCTAGTTCAGTTCTAGTTCAGTTCTAGTTCAGTTCTAGTTCAGTTCTAGTTCAGTTCTAGTTCGGTTCTAGTTCAGTTCTAGTTCAGTTCTAGTTCAGTTCTAGTTCAGTTCTAGTTCGGTTCTAGTTCAGTTCTAGTTCAGTTCTAGTTCAGTTCTAGTTCAGTTCTAGTTCAGTTCTAGTTCAGTTCTAGTTCAGTTCTGGTTCAGTTCTAGTTCAGTTCTAGTTCAGTTCTAGTTCAGTTCTAGTTCAGTTCTAGTTCAGTTCTAGTTCAATTCTAGTTCAGTTCTAGTTCAGTTGTAGTTCACTTCTAGTTCAGTTAAAGTTCAGTTCAAGTTCAGTTCTAGTTCAGTTCTAGTTCAGTTCTAGTTCTAGTTCAGTTCTAGTTCAGTTCTAGTTCAGTTCTAGTTCAGTTCTAGTTCAGTTCTAGTTCAGTTCTAGTTCAGTTCTAGTTCATTTCTAGTTCAGTTCTAGTTTAGTTCTAGTTCAGTTCTAGTTCAGTTCTAGTTCAGTTCTAGTTCAGTTCTAGTTCAGTTCTAGTTCAGTTCTAGTTCAGTTCTAGTTCAGTTCTAGTTCAGTTCTAGTTCAGTTCTAGTTCAGTTCTAGTTTAGTTCTAGTTCAGTTCTAGTTCAGTTCTAGTTCAGTTCTAGTTTAGTTCTAGTTTAGTTCTAGTTCAGTTCTAGTTCAGTTCTAGTTCAGTTCTAGTTCAGTTCTAGTTCAGTTCTAGTTCAGTTCTAGTTCAGTTCTAGTTCAGTTCTAGTTCTAGTTCAGTTCTGGTTCAGTTCTAGTTCAGTTCTAGTTCAGTTCTAGTTCAGTTCTAGTTCAGTTCTAGTTCAGTTCTTCTAGTTCAGTTCTAGTTCAGTTCTAGTTCAGTTCTAGTTCAGTTCTAGTTCAGTTCTAGTTCAGTTGTAGTTCAGTTCTAGTTTAGTTCTAGTTCAGTTCTAGTTCTGTTCAAGTTCAGTTCAAGTTCAGTTCTAGTTCAGTTCTAGTTCAGTTCTAGTTCAGTTCTAGTTCAGTTCTAGTTCAGTTCTAGTTCAGTTCTAGTTCAGTTCTAGTTCAGTTCTAGTTCAGTTCTAGTTCAGTTCTAGTTCAGTTCTAGTTCAGTTCTAGTTCAGTTCTAGTTCAGTTCTAGTTCAGTTCTAGTTTAGTTCTAGTTCAGTTCTAGTTCAGTTCTAGTTCAGTTCTAGTTAGTTCTAGTTTAGTTCTAGTTCAGTTCTAGTTCAGTTCTAGTTCAGTTCTAGTTCAGTTCTAGTTCAGTTCTAGTTCAGTTCTAGTTCAGTTCTAGTTCAGTTCTGGTTCAGTTCTAGTTCAGTTCTAGTTCAGTTCTAGTTCAGTTCTAGTTCAGTTCTAGTTCAGTTCTAGTTCAGTTCTAGTTCAGTTCTAGTTCAGTTCTAGTTCAGTTCTAGTTCAGTTCTAGTTCAGTTCTAGTTCAGTTCTAGTTCAGTTCTAGTTCAGTTCTAGTTCAGTTCTAGTTCAGTTCTAGTTCAGTTCTAGTTCAGTTCTAGTTCAGTTCTAGTTCAGTTCTAGTTCAAGTTCTAGTTCAGTTCTAGTTCAGTTCTAGTTCAGTTCTAGTTCAGTTCTAGTTCAGTTCTAGTTCAGTTCTAGTTCAGTTCTAGTTCAGTTCTAGTTCAGTTCTAGTTCAGTTCTAGTTCAGTTCTAGTTCAGTTCTAGTTCAGTTCTAGTTCAGTTCTAGTTCAGTTCTAGTTCAGTTCTAGTTCAGTTCTAGTTCAGTTCTAGTTCAGTTCTAGTTCAGTTCTAGTTCAGTTCTAGTTCAGTTCTAGTTCAGTTCTAGTTCAGTTCTAGTTCAGTTCTAGTTCAGTTCTAGTTCAGTTCTAGTTCAGTTCTAGTTCAGTTCTAGTTCAGTTCTAGTTCAGTTCTAGTTCAGTTCTAGTTCAGTTCTAGTTCAGTTCTAGTTCAGTTCTAGTTCAGTTCTAGTTCAGTTCTAGTTCAGTTTCTAGTTCTGTTCAAGTTCAGTTCAAGTTCAGTTCAAGTTCAGTTCTAGTTCAGTTCTAGTTCAATTCTAGTTCAGTTCTAGTTCAGTTCTAGTTCAGTTCTAGTTCAGTTCTAGTTCAGTTCTAGTTCAGTTCTAGTTCAGTTCTAGTTCAGTTCTAGTTCAGTTCTAGTTCAGTTCTAGTTCAGTTCTAGTTCAGTTCTAGTTCAGTTCTAGTTCAGTTCTAGTTCAGTTCTAGTTCAGTTCTAGTTCAGTTCTAGTTCAGTTCTAGTTCAGTTCTAGTTCAGTTCTAGTTTCAGTTCTAGTTCAGTTCTAGTTCAGTTCTAGTTCAGTTCTAGTTCAGTTCTAGTTCAGTTCTAGTTCAGTTCTAGTTTAGTTCTAGTTCAGTTCTAGTTCAGTAATAATACAGTTCTGATTAATTTAATTTGATTTTGTTTTTGTAATATTTTAGAGCTGCCGATTACTTGGTACGCACAGGACCTGTTGTTACCTTGGAAGTAGCTAAGCAAGGTGCAATCTACCATGGTCTGGCAACTTTATTACAACAACCCAGTCCTGTTATACAACGTGGTATGTAAATTATTTAACAAAACAATAGTTTATTTTATATTTTAAGTTAAACCAAGGAGTTGGAAGAAAATTTCAAAGATCGGCAATGAAATTAATGGAAATACAATATTTCATACATTTAATCTCTTAGAGCCAGCTTTCAACCTTATTCGATTCGAATGAAAAGTCAAATTTAATGATATTTAAAAGCAGTTTGTAATCAAACTTTCGATGAATAGCCATCCAGCATATTTAAGAACAAGTGTTTTCTTTAAAAAACTTTAATTCCAATCTAGTGAAAAGAATTCTTTGAGATTTAATTTTTCTTAAAACTCCTTTGAAATTTTTAATAAAATTAAAATCTACACATATCTTTAATTTACACATACACTTAGCTACAACATCATTAATTTAAACACGTACATATTTACTTAGATTTAAAAGTATACCTTATTGCTAATTAGTTAAACTAAATATTAAATTTATCATACTCCTTCCTACATGCTGCCATTAATTGCAAATTAAACTAAAAAAAAAACTTAAATACATAAACATAACTTTAAAACTAATATTAAAAAGAAGATAAAAACACCCTACAATTTCCGCAAAATCTGCATCATCAACAACGAAGGCACAGTTCTCATAATACAAATAGTCGCTATTATAACTCCATATCCGATGATAGTTTAAATCGTAGTCGTCGTCAATCGTATGCGGGCATGTATACCACAACATCTTCTTCACCGCCTGTACGACGTTTATCGGCATCATCTCTACTCGAAGAGAGATGTCTAATGGGTTATCAAATACCTATAGATCCTAGATATCGTGATACTAGACCTATAGCACGTTCCGCTAGTAGTTTGTATAACATGAGTAAAGAGGTGTCGTTGAGCACGCATAATTTGACAAATCCTCAAGGCGGTGGCATGATGTATCAAACCGCCATGCAGGAGATGCCAATACAGCAGCCACCGGCCATGGAACAATTTAGTCCGCTTCGGCAAAGGGCGAGAAGTGCTAGCAATACAAATATAACACAAACTCCACCACCCTCGATATATATAGAAGAGTATATGGAACCGGGAGAACAATCGAGTGCTAATAAAACTAATTCACAAGAATCATTTACGAATTTTGTCTATACCGAAGTTCATCAACCGCTCAATGAGGAGGGCATAGCTTCGGTGTCTAATAAAGAGGAAATACCCTTTATCGATGATGGTTCTCCCACCGAAGAGGAGAAACCTTATGTACCCTCTGAACCATTCCCACAACTAAATCGCGGCATTATAGGCAATAAAAAGCCCTTAAATTTAAATACCCAACGAAAAACGGTTAGTTTTGATCTGGAGGATATGTCGAGTAAAGAATCTTGCGGGGAAATATTAAAAAATCGCAAATTTCATACACATGATGCTTTAAGTAAATATTGTAACAACACCAACAACTCCTCCTCCCCATCTAATCACAATTCGAATGAATCTTTAAAACATGATTCTAACACTTCACTAGATAAACAAGGCAAAATGTCGTTGATACAGAAAATAAGAAGAGAATTGAATTCCTATCGTTCCACCTCGGGCAGTATACCCACTATAGCAACAGAAGCAGATTCTGGTGGAAGTAATTCAAATTCACAACGTTCCTCCTCGGAGTCCATAGAACGAATGCCTTTATTAACGCAACGTTTTAGGGATGTCACCCTAAAACCCAGAAGAGAGCTAAATAGCATGAGATCAACTTCGGGTGGTGGCGTAATGGCCACACAGCAGATCTACAAATATCAGCCACAGCAAAACAGGTTTTTTAATCATTCTCAAATTAAACGTGAATTTAATAAACAGCAGACGCCGCCAACAACAACGCAAATGCACCATTCTTTTGTAAAAACACAAAATGTAAATATATTTTCAAAACTGAATAACGAACGTAAACCAAGTTTAACTCCCTTACAACCAATACCAAACGAATATGTTCCTATTAGCTTACAAAAACCCAAATCATTATCGCAAAATAATCTCTTATGTGCGGAGACTTCAGAAGAATTACCAGAATTTTCAAAATCATTGGGCGAGGGTAAAGTCAAAGAAATGGCTGATTTTTTTGCCAAAAATAAAGATTTCAAATTACAACCATTTCAAAATCAAAAAATACTCAGTAAATCTACTTCTGATTTGTTAGACAGCAAAACGTCAAAAACTATAAAACCTCGACTAACTAAACCCGAACAAACAGATATTTTGAAACAACTTAAAGAATGGAGTATTTTTGGTTTGGAAGGAAGAGATTTTGATATTAATTTAAAAATCGCTAATGAACAAGATACGCCACAACTGCAACAATCATCTAATATTGAAACCCAACAACGAATTAGTTTTAAAACAAATCTTAATAATAATATTAATAATAATTGTAGCAACATTAATAACAATAATGTCGTCGTTACTGATAATGATAATTACCTTAAACAATGTACAAATTCTGTAATTGAAACTTCCTCAACCACACCACTACCACCACCACCACCTACTTGTAAATTGTCTTTAAGCACTAAATTAAATGTTAACTGTGATCCCTGTCAATGTTTTGAAACTAAAAGCTGTTGTAGCTTGGAAACCTGCAGCACACTCCTACAACAACAAGAAACACCTAAAACTAACTGTATAAAAACCCATAACTGTTGTAAATGTAATACTACCCTAAACACCTGCACCACTTCCTCCTCCGTATGTAATCATATGCAACAGCCAACTAAAACTCCTAGTGCAGCCAAAGGTTTACAACGTTGTGGTACCTTAAAATTAAGTTCCAAGACCAAAACTGTACGCAGTATAAAACGTAAACAGCAGCAGCAACAACAACATGCAAATAATCAACAATGTTTGGAAGATAACAATTATAAACCCTTTAATGCAACTACCCCACCCAGTTGTAAAATATTATTATCTTTAGCCTCTAGTGATTCTTTGACGACAACAGCATCCTCCTCCACCACATCAAATTCAACAAATTTATGTTCTTCAACATGTCCTCATTGTTGTTTGGAATTCGAAAATCATAATGATTATAATGATGATGTGATTAAGGATAATGATACAGATGATGATAATATAGATTATGATGAGGATGATATTGATGATGATGATGTTACTAATTTCGGACTTAAGCTTGATGCAAATAAAACAAGTTGATATTGCTCCCATAATTAAGAGGTTGTTTTTTGGAAAAATGCTTGCTTTTATATAATTAATAGCTTTTTGTTTAATTTTGTTTCTCTTGATGTTGTATTTTTGAAAATAAGTTGTTGTCCTTTTACTTTTTTCGATTTCTCAATGTTGTTGTTTTTTTATTACTTTCCATTTCTAAGATAAAATGTTTTTTGAAAGATTTCAAAATTGATACTTAATAAAATTTTCATCAAGAGTAGACTATTACCTAGACTATAGACTAAACTAGACTATAGACTAGACTATAGACTAGACTATAGACTAGACTATAGACTAGACTATAGACTAGACTATAGACTAGACTATAGACTAGACTATAGACTAGACTATAGACTAGACTATAGACTAGACTATAGACTAGACTATAGACTAGACTATAGACTAGACTATAGACTAGACTATAGACTAGACTATAGACTAGACTATAGACTAGACTATAGACTAGACTATAGACTAGACTATAGACTAGACTATAGACTAGACTATAGACTAGACTGTAGACTAGACTATAGACTAGACTATAGACTAGACTATAGACTAGACTATAGACTAGACTATAGACTAGACTATAGACTAGACTATAGACTAGACCATAGACTAGACTATAGACTAGGCTATAGACTATAGACTAGACTACAGACTAGACTATAGACTAGACTATAGTCTAGACTATAGACTTCACTATAGATTAGACTACAGACTAAACTATAGAATATACTATAGACTAGACTATAGACTAGACTATAGACTAGACTATAGACTAGACTATAGACTAGACTATAGACTAGACTATAGACTAGACTATAGACTAGACTATAGACTAGACTATAGACTAGACTATAGACTAGACTATATACTAGACTATATACTAGATAATAGACTAGACTATAGACTAGACTATAGACTTTACTACAGACTAGACTATAGACTTCACTATATATTATACTATAGAATATACTATAGACTAGGCTATAGAATATACTATAGATTAGATTATGGACTAGACTATAGACTAGACTATGAACTAGACTACAGACTAGACTATAGACTTTACTACAGACTAGACTATAGACTTCACTATAGATTATACTATCGAATATACTATAGACTAGACTATAGACTAGACTATAGACTAAACTATAGATTAGATTATAGACTAGACTATAGACTAGACTATGAACTAGACTATAGACTAGACTATAGACTAGACTAGACTATAGACTAGACTAGACTATAGACTAGACTATAGACTAGACTAGACTATAGACTAGACTATAGACTGGACTATAGACTAGACTATAGACTAGACTCTGGACTATACTATAGACTAAACTATAGACTAAACTATAGATTAGATTATAGACTAGACTATAGATTAGACTATAGATTAGACTATAGATTAGACTATAGACTAGACTTCAGACTAGACTATAGACTAGACTATAGACTAGACTATAAACTAGACTATAGACTAGACTATAGACTAGACTATAGACTAGACTATAGACTAGACTATAGACTAGACTATATACTAGACTATAGACTAGACTATAGACTAGACTATAGACTACACTGTAGACTAGACTATAGACTAGACTATAGAGTAGACTATAGAGTAGACTATAGAGTAGACTATAGAGTAGACTATAGAGTAGACTATAGACTAGACTAAAGACTAGACTAAAGACTAGACTATAGACTAGACTATAGACTAGACTCTAGACTAGACTATAGACTAGACTATAGACTAGACTATAGACTAGACTATAGACTACACTATAGACTACTCTATAGACTAGACTATAGACTAGACTATAGACTAGACTATAGACTAGACTATAGACTAGACTATAGACTACACTATAGACTACACTATAGACTACACTATAGACGACACTATAGACTAGACTATAGACTAGACTATAGACTAGACTATAGACTAGACTATAGACTAGACTATAGACTAGACTATAGACTAGACTATAGACTAGACTATAGACTAGACTATAGACTAGACTATAGACTAGACTATAGACTAGACTATAGACTAGACTATAGACTAGACTATAGACTAGACTATAGACTAGACTATAGACTAGACTATAGACTAGACTATAGACTAGACTATAGACTAGACTATAGACTAGACTATAGACTAGACTATAGACTAGACTATAGACTAGACTATAGACTAGACTATAGACTAGACTATAGACTAGACTATAGACTAGACTATAGACTAGACTATAGACTAGACTATAGACTAGACTATAGACTAGACTATAGACTAGACTATAGACTAGACTATAGACTAGACTATAGACTAGACTATAGACTAGACTATAGACTAGACTATAGACTAGACTATAGACTAGACTATAGACTAGACTATAGACTAGACTATAGACTAGACTATAGACTAGACTATAGACTAGACTATAGACTAGACTATAGACTAGACTATAGACTAGACTATAGACTAGACTATAGACTAGACTATAGACTAGACTATAGACTAGACTATAGACTAGACTATAGACTAGACTATAGACTAGACTATAGACTAGACTATAGACTAGACTATAGACTAGACTATAGACTAGACTATAGACTAGACTATAGACTAGACTATAGACTAGACTATAGACTAGACTATAGACTAGACTATAGACTAGACTATAGACTAGACTATAGACTAGACTATAGACTAGACTATAGACTAGACTATAGACTAGACTATAGACTATACTATAGACTAGACTATAGACCTAGACTAACTATAGACTAGACTATAGACTAGACTATAGACTAGACTATAGACTAGACTATAGACTAGACTATAGACTAGACTATAGACTAGACTATAGACTAGACTATAGACTAGACTATAGACTAGACTATAGACTAGACTATAGACTAGACTATAGACTAGACTATAGACTAGACTATAGACTAGACTATAGACTAGACTATAGACTAGACTATAGACTAGACTATAGACTAGACTATAGACTAGACTATAGACTAGACTATAGACTAGACTATAGACTAGACTATAGACTAGACTATAGACTAGACTATAGACTAGACTATAGACTAGACTATAGACTAGACTATAGACTAGACTATAGACTAGACTATAGACTAGACTATAGACTAGACTATAGACTAAACTATAGAATATACTATAGACTAAACTATAGAATATACTATAGATTAGATTATAGACTAGACTATAGATTAGACTATAGATTAGACTATAGATTACACTATAGACTAAACTATAGAATATACTATAGATTAGACTATAGATTAGACTTTAGACTAGACTGTAGACTAGACTATAGACTAGACTATGGACTAGACTATAGACTAGACTATAGTTTTGAAAACATTGCATTTTTACCTTATTAATTGCACTTGTTTTACATATATTTTTAAGAATATATCTTTTCAGTTACTTTAAGCACATTAATCCTTTAATTTATTTTATAAATTATATTCAATATTTATAACAAATATCTTAAAATTTTTGCACTCATTTAACTTTAATAACAATTATTTTTTTTTTCTCCATTTTTTCATAAAATTTTTCACATGCAATTCACCTAAAAAAAAATAACTACACTTTGCGCCCAAAAAAAACTATCACCCAACAAAACTACCAATAAATCGTTGTGTCATGCTTTAAAATTTAAAACGAAACTAAATTACACCCTGAAAAAAACAGGTAATCGTCGCATGTCTGAACGTGATCTAACACGTATGGGAACTGATAGTAATAAAAGTATGAGTGGTGGTCCTATATTAACAAATAATCATTTACCCAATAGTAAATCCGTACCAGCACTACATCATCATACAGGCAGTGGTACTATTTGTAAGTTTTCTCTTTAGCTCAAAACTGTTTGTTTAAATTTTGGTAAAATATTTTTAATAAAATTAAATTTTTTTTAATTTCCAGCCATGGCCAATTCAAAATCACGGAGTACTCACAGTTTGGCCAATACGAATCCTAATCTAAATAGCAATAATAACAACAATAACAACGAACAGGGTTTCTATCAAAATTTAAGTGTCTATCGTAATCAAAATCAATCACAACCTATTTTAAGCGAAAGGTAAGTCGTTAATATAGTTTTAAGTAAAAGTAATATTTAAAAACAATATTTTTAATTTAAAGTTATATCAATAATAAGTTTAACATTTATATTTCATACTTAAAATCTTCTTAAAAATAATATATTGTTCGATTGAAAACCAAATTTTTACAAAAATTCATATTTTTTTTCAACTTTAACATCTTGTAGTGTTTACAGTTCATTTGTTATTGTGATTTGTTGTTTTAGTCTAAACAAATTTTAAAGTATTTTTATTTAATTTTCTATTTTTTCATTCTATTCCTTTTACTTTTCTTTAAATTATTTAATAATTCTGCTTACAATCGGTTTAGGATTATAATACATTTAAAAAAATTACTCTATGGTTTTATACCCATTAAAAAAGAAGTACAAGTTTTAGAAATGACTAACGTAAGTGATTTATGTTGTTGTTATATGTTTGTTTTTTTGTTATTGTATTTAACACATCACCAAATTTTCTTTTCGAAATATTACAATAATGATACTTTAAACACTACAATTTGCACAAAATTTGACAGTACAAATTACACAGTTTAATTAGCAAGTTAGAGTAGGTTTTTGAGATGGTAATCAAATGCCAATTAATAATCAGATTAGTTAATCTAAAAATAAATTTAATCTTATGTTAATCCCCTTTGATGTTTTTGAGTAAAATATTAAACTTCGCAGTGTTGCCATACAAAACAATAGAAAACATCACTGTTTGTTATCAAAACAATGCATATTTTATAAAAAGAAGAAGACAATTGTAAATTTAATATGAAAATTAATGAAAACTTAAATTAAAAACAAAAAAATGTATTTTGAAGTGCCCATAATTTATACTAATCAATAAATAGAACATTTTAATGTTTATATTTATAAAAATTTTATTAATTTTTTTGCATCAGCTGTTTACACTTTTGCATTTCGTGCTTAAGATTAAACCACCTCCATTGGGCGCTTAAACTTGCAAACAAAATTAACTAATTAAGTACTCAAAAACATCTTTCGAGGATTAATTTTAATTTAATAGCTAATCTTTCACCTAAAGATTAGCCCTTAAAGTTTTACAAATCAATTTAAAAAAAAGATTCGAAAAAATAGACTTTAAATGTAAAACATACAAAAGCTTGTTAGAATATTTTAAACAGATTTAAATATAAACTGTGTAATTAAAACTTTAAATTTCAATTTAATTAACCAAATTGCTGCATTCTGTTTTGCAGACCACCCATGCCATCACATTCCGCAATGAACGCATACAATGGAAATTCCCAACAAAATTTACAAAATCCAATACTCTCGCCAATAAATGGTACAAACCAAGCAACAAACCTAAACCAGCAACAGCAGACAACTTACCAACAGCAGCAGCAACAACAACAACAACATCCCCAACATTCATTAATGACAGCACCACATACATCTAATATGCCACCAAGTCGTCCACAATCGGCCTACTATCAGCATCAAGCTACACCGGCCACAAGCACTACACAACATCAACATTTAAATCCACAACAACAGCAATTTCCCCAACATGGTCACGCTTTCAGTGCCAGCACAACTAATTTAAGTGGTATGCAACAGCAACAACTGCAGCAACAGTTGCAACACATGACACCGCAGCAGCAACAACAGTATCAGCAGCAACAACAAAGTTTAACTTTGGGCAATCGTTCGAAGAGTACACAAAATTTCCAGCGTGACATGCAGACACAACAAAGTTTGCGCATTCAGCAAATGATGGCTCCCTCAATGCCCAATATTAGCAACATGTATCAACAACAGCAGCAGCAACAACAACAGCAACATAATACTTCTCTACAGCAACATAATATGTCAATGCCCTCTAGCATAGCAGCCAGTCAAAGTATGCAAAATGTTTCCTCCATGGCTGATGACAGCCGGTATTCACAATCGGCTAATAATTCTTTAATGGAAACAAATGGCGGCTATCAACAACAACAATCGCCGGCTGGGGGACAAACTCTTAGAAGAAATATGCGTGCTGAATATATACAACAACAAGCTGCTGGTGGTCAGGGTGGTATGGAAAGTGCTCAACATTCTCCTAATTTTATGCAAGAACAACAGCGCGGTAATTTTATGACACTGCCACCTAAACCTGGCATGCAACAACAGCAATTAACACCGCCTAAGCAGCAACAACAATTACCACCTACCGCCCCCAAACCTTTGCAACAAAATAGATTATCTCTACAGCAACAGCAACAACAGGCATATAACAATGCCAATTTATACCAGCAGCAACAACAACAGCAGCCCACTCAACAACCGGGTGAGGATAAACCTCCTCTACCACCCACCACCACTCACCCATTATACAAGGCCACACAACAAATAACACCCGGTATGAATTATGTGGCCAGTACCATAGATCCTCCTAAGGGAGGTTACATGCCCGTTTCGGCAGCTGCTTTACAACAACACAAAAACATACATGGCTGGTAATCCTTGGGAAAGAGAAGAACGCGAAAAAGACTTGGAAATGCGCAGAGAACACATACGCCAGTGGCGTGAACAACAAATCAATGAACTCTCTTCTTTGCCACAAGAACTCCACAGCAGGAGGAACAATTAAAAACTCTTATACTAGAAAGAGATTTTGAAAGAAGAGCCCAAGAAATGGAAGAGCAAGAAGATGAAAGCGAACCTTCCTATGAGAAGGAAAATGTCCAGGAAGTTTTCCGTTTAAATCAACAACAAAATGTCATACAAACTCCGGTAACCAATTTTAGACAAACTGAAATTAAACTGGCCTCGGTAATGGACAATCACCGTCCTAGCAATAGTAACAATTCCAACGAAACATCACCTTTAAATTCAAATAGAAATTCAGCCGCCGAAGCAATACCACCTCCGGTACCCACACAACCCCCACCACCTACTACTACCACCACCATAGTAACCACTAATAGCAATACCTCTACCATACAACCTAAATCCATATTGAAAAATAATCGTTATGATGGTTCCAATACCGCCCCTTCATCACCCTCTAAATCTCAGAAATCCACTTCATTTGCCGATGACAAACATTTGCAAACAGAACATCCTATTTCATCGCTAGCTCGCGATATCAATCATCTCTCTCTAAGCAATACCAATACCTCCAACAACAACAACGCCTACGACAACAATATGAATTCGGAAAATTCTCCTAATTCAGCGACAGTGCCACCACCTCCACCACCAGAACGCAATAGTTCTTATTTGATTATGTCTCAACAAAAGTTACGTAATTCTTCCATTGGTCTTCTCAAGACTGCCACTATCAATTCGGCCGATCTACAAAAGAAAACCTCGGCCTCAAGTATTCTTTTAAACAATAACAATAATAACATACAAAATAATTTATTAAATATGAATTCCGCGAATGCTTCACTACAATCATCACCCTCTTCCTCTACCATGGATATGTATAATGTAGCAGGTGCATCAGTAACGACTGCTACACACAGTAATAGTGCCAGTCCTTCATCATCGATGATGTTGTTGCGTGATAATAAACGTGTCTCATTCCACGATGAGGAAAATAATTATGTTGCTAGTGCCTTTAATAATATGGAATATAATGTAACGATGGAACAGCATATGGCACCGAGCGATTTGAATACCATTAGAGAGGATACAAATGTAAGTTGATAAGGATAAATAATTATATTTTTAAAAACTATAGACTAGACTATAGACTAGACTATAGACTAGACTATAGACTAGAATATAGACTAGAATATAGACTAGACTATAGACTAGACTATAGACTAGAATATAGACTAGACTATAGACTAGACTATGGACTAGACTATAGACTAGACTATAGACTAGACTATAGACTAGACTATAGACTAGACTATAGACTAGACTATAGACTAGACTATAGACTAGACTATAGACTAGACTATAGACTAGACTATACGAGCTATAGACTAGGCTATAGACTAGGACTATAGACTAGACTATAGACTAGACTATAGACTAGACTAGACTATAGACTAGACTAGACTATAGACTAGACTAGACTAGATAGACTATAGACTAGACTAGACTAGAGACTAGACTATAGACTAGACTATAGACTAGACTATAGACTAGACTATAGACTAGACTATAGACTAGACTATAGACTAGACTATAGACTAGACTATAGACTAGACTATAGACTAGACTATAGACTAGACTATAGACTAGACTATAGACTAGACTATAGACTAGACTATAGACTAGACTATAGACTAGACTATAGACTAGACTATAGACTAGACTATACTAGACTATAGACTAGACTATAGACTAGACTATAGACTAGACTATAGACTAGACTATAGACTAGACTATAGACTAGACTATAGACTAGACTATAGACTAGACTATAGACTAGACTATAGACTAGACTATAGACTAGACTATAGACTAGACTATAGACTAGACTATAGACTAGACTATAGACTAGACTATAGACTAGACTATAGACTAGACTATAGACTAGACTATAGACTAGACTATAGACTAGACTATAGACTAGACTATAGACTAGACTATAGACTAGACTATAGACTAGACTATAGACTAGACTATAGACTAGACTATAGACTAGACTATAGACTAGACTATAGACTAGACTATAGACTAGACTATAGACTAGACTATAGACTAGACTATAGACTAGACTATAGACTAGACTATAGACTAGACTATAGACTAGACTATAGACTAGACTATAGACTAGACTATAGACTAGACTATAGACTAGACTATAGACTAGACTATAGACTAGACTATAGACTAGACTATAGACTAGACTATAGACTAGACTATAGACTAGACTATAGACTAGACTATAGACTAGACTATAGACTAGACTATAGACTAGACTATAGACTAGACTATAGACTAGACTATAGACTAGACTATAGACTAGACTATAGACTAGACTATAGACTAGACTATAGACTAGACTATAGACTAGACTATAGACTAGACTATAGACTAGACTATACTGATATAGACTGGACTATAGACTAGACTATAGACTAGACTATAGACTATAGACTAGACTATAGACTAGACTATAGACTAGACTATAGACTAGACTATAGACTAGACTATAGACTAGACTATAGACTAGACTATAGACTAGACTAAGACTATAGACTAGACTAGACTACTATAGACTAGACTATAGACTAGACTATAGACTAGACTATAGACTAGACTATAGACTAGACTATAGACTAGACTATAGACTAGACTAAATACTAGACTATAGACTAGACTATAACTAGACTATAGACTAGACTATAGACTGACTATAGACTGATTAGACTGACTATAGACTAGACTATAGACTAGACTATAGACTAGACTATAGACTAGACTATAGACTAGACTATAGACTAGACTATAGACTAGACTAAAGACTATAGACTAGACTATAGACTAGACTAGACTAGACTATAGACTAGACTATAGACTAGACTATAGACTAGACTATAGACTAGACTATAGACTAGACTATACTAGACTAGACTATAGACTAGACTATAGACTAGACTATAGACTAGACTATAGACTAGACTATAGACTAGACTATAGACTAGACTATAGACTAGACTATAGACTAGACTATAGACTAGACTATAGACTAGACTATAGACTAGACTATAGACTAGACTATAGACTAGACTATAGACTAGACTATAGACTAGACTATAGACTAGACTATAGACTAGACTATAGACTAGACTATAGACTAGACTATAGACTAGACTATAGACTAGACTATAGACTAGACTATAGACTAGACTATAGACTAGACTATAGACTAGACTATAGACTAGACTATAGACTAGACTATAGACTAGACTATAGACTAGACTATAGACTAGACTATAGACTAGACTATAGACTAGACTATAGACTAGACTATAGACTAGACTATAGACTAGACTAGACTATAGACTAGACTATAGACTAGACTATAGACTAGACTATAGACTAGACTATAGACTAGACTATAGACTAGACTATAGACTAGACTATAGACTAGACTATAGACTAGACTATAGACTAGACTATAGACTAGACTATAGACTAGACTATAGACTAGACTATAGACTAGACTATAGACTAGACTATAGACTAGACTATAGACTAGACTATAGACTAGACTATAGACTAGACTATAGACTAGACTATAGACTAGACTATAGACTAGACTATAGACTAGACTATAGACTAGACTATAGACTAGACTATAGACTAGACTATAGACTAGACTATAGACTAGACTATAGACTAGACTATAGACTAGACTATAGACTAGACTATAGACTAGACTATAGACTAGACTATAGACTAGACTATAGACTAGACTATAGACTAGACTATAGACTAGACTATAGACTAGACTATAGACTAGACTATAGACTAGACTAAGACTAGACTATAGACTAGACTATAGACTGACTATAGACTGGATATAGACTGACTATAGACTAGACTAGACTAGACTATAGACGACTAGACTAGACTATAGACTAGTACTATAGACTAGACTGAGACTTAGGACTAGACTAATAGACTAGACTATAGACTAGACTATAGACTAGACTATAGACTAGACTATAGACTAGACTATAGACTAGACTATAGACTAGACTATAGACTAGACTATAAGATAGACTATAGACTAGACTATAGACTAGACTATAGACTAGACTATAGACGTAGACTATAGACTAGACTATAGACTAGACTATAGACTAGATAGACTAGACTATAGACTAGACTATAGACTAGACTATAGACTAGACCTATAGACTAGACTATAGACTAGACTATAGATAGACTATAGATAGACTATAGACCTAGACTAAAGACTAGGACTAAGACTAGACTATAGACTAGACTATAGACTGGACTATAGACTTGGATATAGAATGGACTATAGACTAGACTATAGGACTAGACTATAGACTAGACTAGACTATAGACTAGACTATAGACTAGACTATAGACTAGGACTATAGACTAGACTATAGACAGACTATAGACTAGACTAAGACTATAGACTAGACTATAGACTAGACTATAGACTAGACTATAGACTAGACTATAGACTAGACTATAGACTAGACTATAGACTAGACTATAGACTAGACTATAGACTAGACTATAGACTAGACTATAGACTAGACTATAGACTAGACTATAGACTAGACTATAGACTAGACTATAGACTAGACTATAGACTAGACTATAGACTAGACTATAGACTAGACTATAGACTAGACTATAGACTAGACTATAGACTAGACTATAGACTAGACTATAGACTAGACTATAGACTAGACTATAGACTAGACTATAGACTAGACTATAGACTAGACTATAGACTAGACTATAGACTAGACTATAGACTAGACTATAGACTAGACTATAGACTAGACTATAGACTAGACTATAGACTAGACTATAGACTAGACTATAGACTAGACTATAGACTAGACTATAGACTAGACTATAGACTAGACTATAGACTAGACTATAGACTAGACTATAGACTAGACTATAGACTAGACTATAGACTAGACTATAGACTAGACTATAGACTAGACTATAGACTAGACTGTAGACTAGACTATAGACTAGACTAGACTATAGACTAGACTATAGACTAGACTATAGACTAGACTATAGACTAGACTATAGACTAGACTATAGACTAGACCAACGGTTTCCCAAAAGGGGGTCCGCGGACCCCTAGTGGTCCGTAGCAAAATCCTAGGGGGTCCGCGAAGACGAACGAAAAAAATCATGAATAAAAAATATTCTCTATATGTTACAAAATATTAAAAATATCTCCAAATTTTTCATAAATACTAAAATACACAATTTTTATTCAATAATCCCAGATTTGTTGGTGACTCTTTGAATTTTATTGTTTCGGTCGTTTATCAGGATGAAGCTAGGCCCTACAAATTTATTGTTTCACTTTTATAAAGTAAAGTATTACGTGATTTGTAATTTTTATAAATATATATGTATCGAAATAAATGTTTTTATAGCAGACGGATAATGATTTGCCTTAGAATTAAATACTGATACTGGTATCCCGGAATATGAAGTTAGGTCACATTTCATAATATTTTTTTAAATTGTAAGCAAAAGTGTTAATCTAGTTAATTTTAAATATAAATATTCCATTCCAACGTGATACACAGATTTTAACTTCATTTTGTTGTCCAATATTATTAAATCAACATCAGAAAATTCATAGCGTTTTGCGTAAATAGTCAAAACCACGCAGTAAAATAATTCGTAGGTATTTTAAAATTCAAATTTAAGATCCAAATTCACAGTACATTCGCAAAGAGTCCAGGTCATATTGGGTAACGCATTCCGCAACAACATCGAAGAAGTCTAACTTTCACATATTTTCCCGAAAACTTAGCTTACATACTCAGCTTACTCCTATGCAATCGCAAAAAAATTTAGAAACATGACTCTTTAAGCACATGTCGACAATACTTGTTAAAGAAACCTTTTCTCTACCTTGACGAGAAATGAACATGAAAGCTCTCACGATCATAAAATTAAACATCATGGTAGAAGTCATTCTATATTTAAAACCATGAAATTGAAAACATCTCCGAAATACTAAATGTTCTCAATGTACGGGAATATTTTATAGGGTTTATGGACCAGGACTTAGACAATTTTCGGACGAACAATTACACAGTGATACAGCAAAAAAATGCAGGGGTTCTCATATACCAATTCCATTTCGTTATAGTCCATAGAGTAGGAATTTATTTTTAATTTTTCCCGATCACTTCGTTTAGTTCCTTTTTAAGAGCAAAAGTTGTGAAAAAGAGCTATTTTTGAAGTTTTAACTTAAAAAAAAATATATGTTTGGTAGTTTGCAACCGATTTTCAAATTGGATATTTAAAGATACGAGTGTTGTCTTTCAACCCAAAAAAATAAATCCAAAATTTATGATTAATGTCTTGGTTACGGCCATTTAAGTAAAAAAACTCACACTTTTTTCACAATTTTTAATTTTCATACTGCTCTACACAGAAAAAAATATGCACAATTTTTTTCTTAACAATCGGTTGCTTAAATTTAATTTCTATTTTTATTAATATTTTTATTTGGGTTTATAACGAATTTGTTTGATGTTCACACAGAAGGAAAATATTTTCTAACAAACACTTTATTGAAATAAATTTAACTTTCAGTAAATATTTTTACTGATTCAATAAATGTTTTTGTTTGAGTTTTATTTTTATGTCAGCATATGGAATACAACAATAAAACCAGTTTTGGAATGTACTAAAACGAATTGATATAATTCTTATTTGGTTTATAACATTTAATGTATAAGTGTTTCAGTTTTCACAGTACATAATAATAGTTTCTAGAATTAGAAAAGTTTTCTTAAAAATGTTGTAAATATATATGTAATTTTTTACTACTTTTAGTTTTAAATATTTTTTTTAACAAAATTTTTATAGATTCAATGAAAATTTTCTTATTATTATTGCCAAAATACAATAAATAATTTAAATGTTTCAGATAACATATTTGCTTGAATTTCAGTACAAATACTAATAACTTGTGTTATTGTTTCAGTAAAATAATTGTTTGGAAATGTTGCGATTATTTATTAATGTTTTTCGTAAATAGTATATTATTTTAATAAGAAAAATCCTGAAATTTTTTCAATAAAGAATTTACGAATTTGAGTACTTGATTTTACGAATTTCGTGATAGGTCCTATTTTAGTAAAAAAAAAAATACTTGGCTTTATGAATTTTTTGTTTGATTTTGAATTCCATTTTTTTCTGTGTACGTTGGCCATGAAGCAGTAACTTTAGCTTTTATTACATTTGAAAAAAGGCACATTAAGTTGGGTTTCCAATGATGGTCAATTTATGATAATCGATGGAAAAGGTTATGAGTTGTGCTAAGTTTTATAAAAATATAGCATATTTCTTCCATACAAAAACGTTCATGTTTCTGGTTTTCTTTGTAACAAGTTTAAAAAATGTTTATAAATATTTTTATACAAAAATTAATTTGTATGGAGAAAACCAAAAATTCGAGAAACATGCTATTAGAAAAATTGGCATAAATCATCCAGTTTTTCATAGATTTTTATGAAATAACAAGTTTTAGAAACCTTCCTTTATGTGATTCTTCAGGAAAGTAATAAAGATGAACTCACTGCCTCATGGTCAAAGTAGAGCATGATGAAAATGAAAATTTTTTAAAAAAGTGTGAGTTTTTTTACTTAATCGACCGTAACTCAGACATTTTTTTTTTGGATTAAAAGACACTTGTATCATTAAAAAAATATCGGATTTGAAAATCGGATGAAAACTACTAAACTTATGATTTTTCAAATTTAAAACTTCAAAAATGGCTCTTTTTCGCATCTTTTGCTCTTAAAAAGTAAGTTAACGAAGTGATAGGGGAAAACTAAAAATATATTCGTACTCTATGGACTATAACGAAATAGATTTGGTATATGAGAACGCCTGCATTTTATTTTTCTTCACTTTTGTATCACAGTGTTATTTATAACAATAAGATATCAAAATATGTATGGGGGTCCGTGAAATTAAATAAATTCCTCAAGGGGTCCGCGAAGTAAAAAACGGTGGGAACCGCTGGACTAGACTATAGACTAGACTATAGACTAGACTATAGACTAGACTATAGACTAGACTAAGACTAGACTATAGACTAGACTATAGACTAGACTATAGACTAGACTATAGACTGACTATAGACTAGACTATAGACTAGACTATAGACTAGACTATAGACTAGAGATAGACTAGACTAGACTATAGACTAGACTATAGACTAGACTAGACTATAGACTAGACTAGACTATAGACTAGACTATAGACTAGACTATAGACTAGACTATAGACTAGACTATAGACTAGACTATAGACTAGACTATAGACTAGACTATAGACTAGACTATAGACTAGACTATAGACTAGACTATAGACTAGACTATAGACTAGACTATAGACTAGACTATAGACTAGACTATAGACTAGACTATAGACTAGACTATAGACTAGACTATAGACTAGACTATAGACTAGACTATAGACTAGACTATAGACTAGACTATAGACTAGACTATAGACTAGACTATAGACTAGACTATAGACTAGACTAGACTATAGACTAGACTATACTATAGACTAGACTATAGACTAGACTATAGGACTAGACGACTATAGACTAGACTATAGACTAGACTATAGACTAGACTATAGACTAGACTATAGACTAGACTATAGACTAGACTATAGACTAGACTATAGACTAGACTATAGACTAGACTATAGACTAGACTATAGACTAGACTATAGACTAGACTATAGACTAGACTATAGACTAGACTATAGACTAGACTATAGACTAGACTATAGACTAGACTATAGACTAGACTATAGACTAGACTATAGACTAGACTATAGACTAGACTATAGACTAGACTATAGACTAGACTATAGACTAGACTATAGACTAGACTATAGACTAGACTATAGACTAGACTATAGACTAGACTATAGACTAGACTATAGACTAGACTAGACTATAGACTAGACTATAGACTAGACTATAGACTAGACTATAGACTAGACTATATACTAGACTATAGACTAGACTATAGACTAGACTATAGACTATAGACTAGACTATAGACTAGACTATAGACTAGACTATAGACTAGACTATAGACTAGACTATAGACTAGACATATAGACTAGACTATAGACTAGACTATAGACTAGGACTATAGACTAGACTATAGACTAGACTATAGACTAGACTAAGACTAGACTATAGACTAGACTAAAGACTAGACTATAGACTAGACTATAGACTGGACTATAGACTGGATTATAAGACTGAGGACTATAGACTAGACTATAGACTAGACTATAGACTAGACTATAGACTAGACTATAGACCAGACTATGACTAGACTATAGACTAGACTATAGACTAGACTATAGAAGACTATAGCTAAACTATAGACAATATCTATAGACTAGAGCTACTAATTAATCTCATTTTATATTTCGCTTTCAGTTCCTTCCTCAAAACCATAGATGCATCGATGTGGCCTTCCATGCCTTCTACACCTGATGCTGCTGCCTGGAATAACACAGTACAATCAACGCCTGGTGTAATAGGAGCTCAGGAAGTTTACAGGTAAATTGGTTCTTAAATTTTAAAACAAAACAAAATTTTACTGATTTCTCTTTCTTCAACTTTAAAGAGATCCTCGTACAAGACGCTTGGCGGAAAAACAACAACAGCAACAACAACGCAGCACCGAAGCGGTACCGGAAAAATTATCCTTTAAAGAGAAAATGAAAATGTTTGCCTTAGAATCGGGCGAAGATAATACTCCTAAAGATAAACTAAAAATATCCAGGGCACAAAGAGACATTGATGCAGTGCATTAAATAGAAAAACACAACATTTAACACATTTTACACTTAATTTAACACAAAAAAAACGTAAATAATTTTAAAGCAATTAACACTTATGAAAAAATTATTAAAAATTAAAAAAGAAATAGTTTCCAACTTAAAATTTTAAAACAATTATAAAAACCCTATAACGAATTTGCTTAAATAAGGCAATAATTATTATAAAACTTTTATTTTTTTATTAAATATTATTATTTTATAAAATAATTAATTATTTTTTAAATATTATTTAAAATAAGTCTTTAAACGAAAGTGTATAGAAAAAAACTGAGTTATAAACATTAATTAAAACTAAAAAAAACATTAAACAAATAAGTTTAAAATTACATATAATTTGAAGTTTAAAATACTTTATTTAATATTCTATAATTATTTTTAGTAGTGTATTACATTTTCTTTATACATTATTGAATTACAAACTTATTAATTTTTTATTCATTTCTTTTTTGTTTTTATTATAAACTATATAATTTTTAAGTTTTATAAATAATTTTGTAAATCATTGATTGCTTAAATATTTAAATTTAAATAACACATACAAGAAAAACAAAATATTTATGTAAAAAAATTAAAACTTGAAATTAAAGAAAATCTTTAAAAAATAATATTCTTATTTGTTTGATTAATACGAAAAAATCTTAATGATACGAAAGTTTAACTAATTATAACAAAATGGTCCAATATTTATTACCTAAAAGTTTACAAAAAAAAAAAACAATAATAATAATAATACAAAAATACTTTAATATTAAACAAAAATTAATTATAAATTTTATTAAAATTTATGTGATCTTTTTTTCGTTTTTTATATTTTTTGTTTGTTTTATTATGGCTTTAAATTTCCCTTTATCCTTAAATAAAAACATTTTAAAATGTTTTTATAAAAAATTTAAATATATAAATAAAATTAGCATTCCATTATAAAAAATTTTTTAGTTTGATTAATTTTTATAATTTTGCCTCAAAGAAAGAGCGTAACACTACTTTTGTTTAAAAATTTTCTTCAAAAACAACCCAAATCATAAATAGATTTGCTGAAAACATGCGATTGTAAATATATATGTATATATAAATATTCTGCGATTTACTTAAAAAAAATTGTATTCAGCTAAACAAATGTTGGTATAAAGGTATAAATTTATTAAGAATTTTTTAAAATATACAATTTTTTCACAATTCAGCTATGAAAAATTTTATTCAGCTAAGCAAATGTTATATTAATTACAAAAAAAAAAAAGTAGTATAATGGGTTTTCTAAAAATTTTTGGCAATTCAGCTCAAAAAAAGTTTAATTCAGCAATGCATATCTTATATTTAATTGAAAATTAAAGTATAATTATGGATTTTCTTAAAGTTTTTGGCAATTCAGCATATGAAAATCTAATTTCGCAAGCTATTATTGCCATATCTTGAAAAAATGTACAATTCAGCAGAAGTAAAAGTATAAATTAATTACGAATTTTTAAAATATTAAAATTTTTTGGCAAATATAATTTTTTTTTAATTCAGCGTAAAAAAATACAATTCAGCAGAAATAAGACTATAAATTTATTAAGAATATTTTAAAATATATACATTTTTCTACAATTTAGCGTAAAAAAATACAATTCAGCAGAAATAAAACTATAAATTTATTAAGAATTTTTTAAAATATTTACATTTTTCTACAATTCAGCTGTGAAATATGTAATTCAGCTAAGCAACTCCTATATTAGTTTTAAAAAGTAAGCATAATTAAGGATTTTTGGAAAGTATTTTGCAATTCTGCTAAACAAAATAGTATTCAGCAAGCTAAAAGTGTAAATTTTTATTACTTTTGTAATAAAACTTAACACTTATTGCAATTTTATTAGAACGAAATAGAATTCAGCTAAAATCTGCAGAATCAATTCAGCAGAGTCAAAGTAAAAAATGTATTAAGAATTTTTAACATATTTACATTTTTACACAATGCAACTGCAAGAAATGTAATTCAGCTGAGTAAATGTTATATGTATCTGAAAAAATAAGACTAGTTATGGATTGAGTTGAACTGTTTTGCAATTCAGCAAAAGAAAATAGAGTTTGTCTGAAAATAATATAATTCAGCAAAGCAAAAGTGTAAATTTATTAAAATTATTGAAAATATTTCAGTTTTTCCGCAATTCAGCTAAGCAAAAGTATTTCAAAAAGAAAGTATAGGTATGGATTTCTTTAAAGCATTCTAAGAAATAGACTAATCTATCAGTCAATACAGTCATCCAGGAAGTAG